GAGTTTTTGCGCCTACTGACGATTTTTTACACCAAAATATATTTTTTTCTTTGTAAAGTGTGTTGGGTCATGAATTCTTACACCAGATTCCTTAGATTCTTTATGAAACTATTGCAACAGGGTTGTTTTTGGTTTCTAGAGAACAAAACCAGTACAGTAATTTAGATGTGGTGATGCCACTTGTCCAAAAACATATTAAATAAGTGGTAAAATCGTAAAAAAAATTATTAAAAAATCCAGATTTAATGACGCATGCCATGCAGTCAAAGTTTTTAAATGGTAGAGAAGCATTACAGTTATGTCACATCATCGATCGATCAGGTATCACTCATTACCAGGGGTTGTAGTATTCACATAACTGAAAACGTTTAACTAATACGGTTAACAGATTATAACAATGTCTTTTTCCATACCTACCCTGGTATCATTCCGAGACTCCCATATCAGCCCTGGTCGCTAGTCGATGGCTCAGATGGGTCAAGGGATGACGTCATGGGCCATACGGAAAAGGGAATGGTCTAATCTATTGATCACCTATTATACAAATGCTTAAAAAAGTGAAGAAAAAACATATTATTTGGTCTGGCAGGGACAGAAATTTTTTTCCTTCGCAGACATTTTAATCGACGTTTACAAAATCAGCAGGAGTCGGTTTCACAAAAAAACTTACGACTAAGATCAGGAGTCGGTTTCACAAAAAAACTTACGACTTAGATTTATCGTAAGTATACTGAATTGTTTATGACTTACAATCAATCTTAATCGTAAGTTTTTTTTTTGTGAAACCGACTCCAGCTCCCTCGTCCGTCATTGTTAGAAACGCCACTGACGTCATTCATAACAGAGCACACTTATTGGTTGTTTGCCTGGGCAGACCTGATTTTCCTCATACAGAATTATGACTAGAACAAATCTAAGTGTATTCCATATGCAAAACATAATGTTTGCGTTACAAATATGTGATAGTACATAAAATTGAATGCACTTATTTTGTGAAAACTTCGGGTTCATATAAACAATAGTTGTTTCTACAATATTTCATGTGTGCGTCCATGTTTTTTTTATCATCATAAGCCTATATGTTTTTAACATCTTATCTTCTTTTCAAGAGTGATATTTTATCACGACAGATATTGTCATGGTTACCACTTATAATGTTGACCATGGAGACAATTTCCTATCTTGTCATTATTGCATTCTCTTGAATTCTATCAATAAGCGTATGATATATTCAATACATGGAGTTCAATACAAAATTTGCATATTATATAATTTCAGAAGGAAAATGTTTGATATTTATGAATAAAATTATTTCAAGTAAACGCTGAGAACAGAAATGAAGTAGTGTCCCTTTCCTTAATAATTTTTTGTCAAATTAATGCTTGAAATGGTTTGTTTCACAAAATAATATATATTCATTGATGCATGTCATCAGCGATGGTTTCAAGATACCGATTCATTTTACCACTGAGGTGCAATTTTAGATATTGAAGAGCCTTCTTGATTATCGTATACTTTGGCCAAAAATTTCAACATGTTTTAATACAATCAAAATATAATTCGGCGCTAAATGTTGAAGTCATTTTGATACAACATTATCAATTATACATGTGTTTGAAAATTCATCGAACGACATCACAAATCAAAATAAACTATTATGTACCAGATAGATAATATACAACTTTAGTTCAAACATAATTTTGGTCTTTCTTATGAATATCTTTCCTATATATCTTTAGATAAATACTCATAAGTTGCCAAATTCTGTTAATCTGTTCAACTTAAACTATTGTTGTCTTACACGTTGCATAAAATACGCGAGGATTATAATGTATGCATTAGTTGGATCATGGCATGATTAGGAAAATAAAAATAGATGAGGTCTTGCTTTTTAAATTTAAACTATTCATTAAAGAACAAAGACAACAATAATTGCTTACATCAACTTCATTTGAACTTTGATGGATAGTTGTCTCAATTGCAATCATATCACATCTCCTTATTTTAAATGTATTTTTAAAATATTGAAAAAAAGAAAAGTGTACGATGTGACTTTCCTTAAGGAAAAGGGACAACCACCGCGTACGAGTACAAAATCATAGTCTAAACTTCTGCAGTCTGGTATTTGGGGAAGGTGTATGTTTTACTGCTTTGTAAACAAACCCCCTTGATCAGAATGAGAACATTCATTGAATGCAGAATCCAGCCTTCAGACAGTGTAAAACACATTTCACCTATCCAGTTGTCCTTTGCGATCCTCTGTGCTAACATAACCTACTCACTTGATCATTTGCTAAATATGTTATCCTCTTAAATGTGGCTGAAATGTTTTATCACTCGAAGCACGAAGCAACTGCAAGATTTCGTGTTGCTTAGTCTTTAGGTTTCTATGTTGTGTCATCTATACTATTATTTGTCTGTTTGTCTTTTTATTTTTGGCCATGGCGTTGTCAGTTTGTTTTCGAACTATGAGTTTGACTGTCCCTCTGGTATCTTTCGTCCCTCTTTTCTAGCAGTCGAAAGCCATTTATTCGCCAGCCATAAGATCTATGGACGATCCAAATTAACAGTACGTCAGTATTTAGTGTAGTAGATACTTAACAAGCAGTTATCGATTAAGCTAGGGGATTCGAAACACTTCTTTAGCTCAATCGGTTCGGGTGCTGACTTGTAACACAGAGGTTCCGGAGGAGGCAATGTGATTTTCTAGTGAAAATCATGCTCTCCGTTTACAACAGTAGTACATCAACGATACTTGAGTAATCACTGCCTTACGATCATGACAGCACGTGTACTCGTGCGAATTGGGGCTAACCGTGTGTAAGTGGGTAGCTGTGTCAAGTATAATGGAATTATTGTAAACAGTTCTCAATCACAAAACATACTCCCCGTTATATCTAACGTATTTGAAAAAAAGGTTGCCAATCATTTTTATCTTTATCTGTCAAAATATAAACTATTACACGAGGTGCATCCGGATAAAGATCAAACCACTCATTCCAAACAGCCCTTACCAAATTGATAGATAACTGGCTTAGATATATTGATGACGGCAATTTTGTAGGAACAGTCTTTCTGAAACAAGCATTTGATCTTGTTGATCACCTCATTCTCTGCCAACTATTACATTTATACAAAATCTCAGATCATTCAGTGAAATGGTTCAAGTCATACCTCTCTAATAGAACACAAAAAGTGTGCTCAGGTAATACAGCTTCAGATATCTCATCATATGAAAATGGGGTTCCTCAAGGATCCCTTACTGTTTGTTTTATTTATAAATGACATGACTTTAGAGGCATCAAATTCAGTCATTGACATGTATTGAGATGATACAACACTTCATACCCATGGTATGAATAAGGAAGAGACAGAGAGAAAACTAAACTATGATGCCAACCCTATAAATAAATGGTGTTTAAACTACAAAATGGTAATAAATCCTTTCAAAACAACTTCTATGCTGGTTGCCACGAATTTGATAAACTAATATCAATATAAAATAGCAATAACATCTATTGAAACACAAAAGCTTATAGGTATATGCATTGACAAAAAATTAGATTGGAAATTTCAAATTGATCATGTATTTAAAAGCATAAGTTCTCGTATTGCACTGTTATCCAGAATTAAGAAATATCTACATATTAGTAGTAGAAAATTATTTTATAATGCTTATATTCTGCCATTATTTGATTTGTGTTGCTCAATACGGGGAAATTGTAAATGCAGATGGAATTCCTACTGTAAGTTTGTTTAAAGAACTAAAATGACTAAATAAAGGATGTATTTCTTATCATAAATTGATTCTTGTTCATTAAATTCTCAAAAATAAAGCACCTAATTAACTTAAAGAACTATGTTGTCCAATTATAAACCTACACAGCAGAAATTTAAGATCTTCTACAAACAATAATCTAGCGGTATTGAGGCCTAATACAAATTCGATTAAAACATCATTTACATATAGCTCCTTTTTTGTTTACTATAAATGATATGTAACAACTCTCTAACTCTTTCATGTCTTTTTAACGTTTTTGTATAATGTATTGTTTTGTTTTGTTTTTCTTGTTCTACAGACAATCATTTAGCATGAAAGTTTAATTATTTGTTCAAAAATTGTAATATCTGCAATACTTTTTCATGTTCTTCAGTATGTTTTTGTGAGGGCCTCAAGATAGATTAGTGAATGCTAATAAAGTCATCCCCTTTAAATAAAGTGATTATTATTTATTATTATTATTATTATTATTATTATTATTATTATTATTATTATTATTACACCTAGAATCAACACAAATGCAATACTTTGCTAAAACCTTACGTTACTAGAACTTTTTTTGTATTTCTTCAATCTAATCTAATTGAAAATACATCCTTGAATTACTCCCGTTCTGATATGTCGCGCATCAAGGATCTAACGAAACCCGATAGAGAGGTCAAATTTTGTGACATAGATTCACGAACTTTTTATTTGAATAACATTAATTTTTCGTCCAATCAGAATTGATCTCTTAAACGAATTGATGCGCGACATATCAGAACGGGAGCAATTCAAGGATTTGATTTTAATTAGATTGTTATTTCTTAAAATTTAATTGACATTTACACTGGGTTTTTTTTTTCACGCCTAAAACTTGTACAACTTCCATGTTTTGCATTTAGATAAAGACACATTTCCATCTAAGGAACATTTCTGCATAACTTTGGTTAAATTCCTTTCATCTATTCTTAAATAGAAATCAAAGCAGTATTTTCCATAGCGTTTCAATGTAAACTTTGATCTCTGCTGACAGCCTTTTGCATTTTCGAAATAAGCAACACTTGTTACTGGCCATCCCATGATCCATGTTTCATTGAAATCCAGTCAGAAATTTAGGGTTTACATTTAAAGATACTTAGGCATTGTGTGTGCGCAACTATATATTCAAATATTACAAGTTAGTGTACTTGGCTCATTCTACATCTATTTCAACAAATGTTTAGCTGAAACTACTTACTAATCTCATGTGCTTGGCAACTTATGTGTTCGTCCCTGCTTTCAGTGCTCGTCATTCTCTTGACAAGCTCTTGAACACAACTATTGCTTGGTTCAGATTCCTGTAAGACATCCTTAAACAAATGGAAGGTAGGATATGGTCGTTCGGTTAAGATATCCAGTAGAACCTTGTTACGTTCACGTTGTGTAGTTGGTTTGATAATTTCTTCTCTGTCCTCTATCATTAAAATACATCTGGAAATCAGGTTATCTAAAACCATCTTGTCAAGTACTGTGTTATCTAATAACTCATCATAGTAACGAGCAAGTCCGTGATATTTCTGATCTGAAATAATGGAATCTGATGTAAGACACCCACAGAATCCCTTGCATATTTATTGGATTATTATGTCTTTTATTTGTATTACTCCAGTGTGCCTGGATTAATTTCCTAAATTCTTAAAATTATTGTTGGGATAGGTAATTGAATGTTCCTTTCGATTTTTCTATATTTTCCTGTTTGTCGTAAGAGATACGGCACTGTTATTGTTAGATTTAAGTACATATTTCACATATTTTACAATAGCATGCGTTTGCTTGGATTTATTTACTGGAAGCTTTATATAATTTTTGGAATTGGTACCCATAACACACTGTCAGAATTAAAAAGAAATAGCGATTTGTCATTTCAATGAATTTTGACCATCAAATAAATAAAAGTCTTTTTTGATTGGTATGCACTAGCTCTAGTATGCTTAAATCAAATTACTAAGAACTTAATATTGTTATATTGGACTTTTAACAGTCGGACGAAACATTTATACGCCTAATGGTGTTCTGAGGCATATTTTTTCTATTGTATGAAAATAAGAAGAGGTGGTATGATTGCGAATTAATCAACTCTCCACCAGACACTGAATGACGTAGAAAGTATAGGTCACTGTAATGACGTTACGCACGTTATTGCGTTAAAGTGTCGAAATCATGCACACCACAACGATTAGAAGTTCTGAAGAAAAAAAACATAACAGATAAGATATATGATCTTTACATCTTGAGACTCAGTAGGTATCAGCGTTTCTAAAAATCTGTAAAACTAGATCTCATATTTTATTAATGGTTTCCAATACAGACAACTATTACAAGAACGTCAAAATTTGGCGTGTCAGACGTAACGGAGTATACGTATAATAATCTTAACATGCGTTTTTGCACACTTCATGAGAATATGAAATTCGTAAAAACTTGCAGAAATATTAATGGAATATTTTATTTATGATTTTATTAGCGAATATTTGCTGATTTATCGATCGAACTGATATTTAACAAAAAAATTAATTGTTTTCATCATGGTCAGATTCCAGAAAATGTAAATTCATGAAACTTTATGAGATTTTTTAACATACGGTTAAATGTTATTTCGTTTTGATAAATACTGCTTAATAAAGAACATGGATACATCATTTAAAAAGCGGGTTTTTAGAGCATTCACGCCACAAATAAAAACGCAACGGTATTTAGTAAATGTCTTGCAAGAATGTCCAATATCGAATTTTGTCGTTTGTTACAGGCAAAATGTCAGTTGCAACATCAGTAATTAAAATATTGGAGTTCAAGTATATAATATAGTGCTTTTTCGTAATTGTACTTTGAACGCTTTAAAACAATTATGTACTTTCTGATAGTTTACTTACTCAATAAAACCTCGTTTTTGAACAAATCTAATGTCTTGCAAGTTTGTCCACTCAACGATTTTCGTACGTTTTGAACGTTGTCGGTGTATAGGGACGCTATTATAATGTCTTTACAAAATCAAATCGAAAGGCTTTCATAATCCTTATTTAAACGTTTTTAAATGTATAAGAAATTAAAATGTTTATGCGATGATGTGTTTTTGTATTTCTTAGGTGCTTTTAAAAAAAAGTAGTGTTCAACCTCATCGGCAGTTCTAAGATTAGAGAACGAAACAAAATAAAATACTCTCATAAGTTATATGCAAATGATAGAAACAAAGATAATATTAATAATTGTTTCCTTAACCTATATGAATAAAATATCTTATTTTTTTTAATAAATAAGTAATATGATAATTTCAAAACTTAAAAATTCGTGGACCAGAATAGCAGAATACGTCATTTATGTCCACACGTTTCATACATGTGTAACAAGACAACTGTTGTACCTGAAGATTTTGATTTTGATATTATATAGTTCCCATAAATCTTATTTTTCAAAATTTGATTTACCAGTTATTAAAATTGGTGAAGTGTTGATTAATATTATTTGATCATGTTTATATAAATTTTTAAGTATGATTCTATTCACTTGTAACCAGATTTCCACTGCTTCATTTAAATCAAAATTGAGGGCCGCTTCCTTCTTATCGGTAATAAATGTAAATCTTTGTATTTTATTACATTTCATACCTTATTATCTTTCTCACACACTTAAAAGTATCAATCTTAGCCACAAACAACTATGCCATTGTAAAAAAGAAATAAAAAGAAAGAAATCCTCGATTATTGTTTGAAAACGTCAAATTATGTAGTTTCTGTTTGAGACGCAATACCGTGCATAACGTCATATACGTCCTTCAACAATGGGCAACACTCATTCCGCATGGCAAGCTATAAAACTAAGACCCGAATGTAAATCAACCCAAACGAAAAAACTAACGGGCTGATTTATGTACAAAACAATAAACGAAAAAACAAATACGATATACAGCAAAATAAACGGCAACCACTGAATTACAAGCTCCTGACTTGAGAAAGGCAAATACAGAATGTGGCGGAAATAAACCTGTGTGGTGTTGTATAATCCTATCATAAGCTTAGACAGCTTATTAACTTCTGATAAAATGTCTTCTTAATTCTCCATTTTATTCTTGCAACAATTTCAATATTCCGATAAACACGAAGCATGCGCATTTGAATCCGCAGCTTAATATATTTGTTAACTGTCCAAATTAATTAATTGAAATTGGTACATGTATAATTGAATTAACCCTGAGAAATCGATTGAATTCAAACTGTTCAACACCCATGCATTTGTCATGCGTGCTGATACTAATAACTGATTTATTATCTCTATTGTCATACTAATGTTTGTTTTGACTTCATTGATTCCACTGACTTGTTTTGGTAGAAAGTATCGAGTAGATATATTCACGGGTTAACATGGTTAATATAAAAATGAGGAGATGTGGCATGATTGACAATAAGACAACTTTCCACCAGAGACCAAATGACATAGAGGTTAACAGCTTAAGGTCACCCTTCGGCTTCGGACTTCAACAATGCGCAAAACCAATGCCGTATCCCGAAATGACAAATGTAGAACAATTCACACGAGAAAACTAACGACCTGATTTATGTACAAAATAATGAACGAAAAACAAAGATGATATACAGCAACCTATGATAACCACTGAATTACATGCTCCTGACTTTTGACAGGCACATACAGAATGTGGCGAGGTTAAACTACTTTGCTGGCGCAACCCTACCTTAACTTATGACAATGGTATAACAGTACAACATAAGAACAAGTCAATATTTGATTAATGAAATGATGTTTGTTTACCTACCAGAAGCAAATATATCATGCATATTCAGGACGATGACAAATCTACAATTACTGCAATCAGTAGATCCTCGAAAGTGAGTCGACCAGGATGAAGGACTAAAATTTCTATTGACACTGGAAAATGAGGGTAGTTTTGGGCTGGAACAAAATTGTTACCTTGCAATTGTCCATCTTCAAACCAATCAATAAGTTGTTGCAAAGATGGTACGCGTAGAAAGTGTTTGACTCTCACTATACACATGTCATCAGATTTAACGTCCTCATTCTGACTGGACATGGCTTTGTATTTATACAGCCCGCAATGTCAAACGAACGTCACACTTTAGCAATTGTGTTACTGACGGACAGGATTAATCTAATTGATGACTTTATATCTAAAACTTTGTCAATCCTTGTAGTAAATCATATTACACAATTAGCCGCAATTTTGAAATATTGAACGTTCGGTATGTTAATGGCAAGTACTTTATTACATGTACTACACATTTAGAATAATAAGTACCTTTGACTTCACTGTGTGTTTGATGTTGCGTCTTGTCTTGTTGCTTAGGGAATTCCTTCTTTTCTGATTTCTAAAAAAAAGTATTTGTTTTAATTACTTTCAACTATATCACTATATTAAACAGTGTACTTCATAATGAACATGAGTACAAAGTGTCAAGCGGATGTCATTGCAAACTACCTTTCACCGAGACGCTACGTATTAATATGGGTTGTTAGACACAGGTCATATTTTTTCAGAGAGAGTGGACTGCATCAGAGAGCAAGAAACACATAAGCTACTTATAAATGGAAGCAGATCAAATACTTTCTGAAGGATCTTATAGGTCAATCCGTTTTGATAAGCTCAGACAGCAGAACGGTGGTCCAGGACCTTTATAAACAAACGAGTACAAATAGAACCTTTAAGGCTGCTTCCATAATGTGAAAGAAAAATATCATGAGCAGAACAAAATTAAGCGCTTACAAAATTTCGAACTATTTTTTACATTTGTGTTGCCAACCCCTGATCTATTTGTTTGCCTCGACAGAATACATTCAAACAGAAATGTTTGATTATGAATTCAACTGTTTGTCGTAGATGTCTCAGAAATACATGCGGAGCAAACGTACCCATATGCTAATCCACTACTTTGCGTGATTCACAAAATATTGCAAAATATGAAGTAGCTTCAATGCCAGATTCAACTGGAATATACATTGTGGATAAAGACACCCCAGCACACTAAACAATTTCATAGTAGTTTCGGTCATACAATCGATCTTTTAAAGGCGAAAGCTTTTCGAAAGAACTTAGAGAAAACCTTTTAGTTTTCAGTCGTACTGAAAAAAAAGTATAACAAAATTACTGAACTCCAAGGCAAATTCAAAAAGGGGAAGTCCATAAAAACTGACATAATCAAACGCTGTCAATCACCGGAACATGTGAAAAACAACTGCCATATTCCTGATTTGGTACAGGCAGATCCCAGAAAGACAAACGTTCCAAATTAAAGTAATAATGTAGCTGGTGTTGTTCACTAGAGATTATTCCCAATGAACAATTTTTCACCTGTTGGCAGATTCTTTATTTCATTTGATTGGAAATTAATTGCAATAAGTGACAATTTCAGTGTAAAGATCTATTTTTGCCAATGTTTTACCTCGGTTTGATACTATTGAAGCAAGTAACACCTATATATTACAATACATATGAAATGGGTTTTTAACTCTAGACCACATACATCACAATTAGCACCTGCATGAGATTTGCAGTTGGTTTTAAACTGATTGCAAAAAGTGCAGTCTCTTGAAAACTTTGAGTTGAAAACGCAGTTGAAAAAAGCGTCGTTATAATTAAGAGGATACAGCTTACATCAAATGTGGTTTTTTCATGTATTTCGAAAAGTAACAGTATCCCGTTTTTTTATAGGAACTTGTCGTGTTGCTCGTGGTAAGTACGCTTCCACCCGGGTATGTCATAATTGATGAAAAGTGAACGGGATTGTGGTTAGAATAATTAGAAGACATATCGGTCATCTGTAAATTAAGACATAAGTAGTCTACCAATGTTCAAATCTCACGAATCCAATGAGAAGACAAATCAAGGTAACAAACAGAATCTAATAACACAAACGGTATATTTTTTTCTGCACCAGGTGCGCATGCCGACCAATAATGTCTTTTCAGTTTTCTTAGAGGCCAACATATGTGAAAATCCAAAGCTTATCAAAAAGATAAAGACCTATAAATAAAAAAGGACACAAAAGTATAGCCAAAGCCAGGCAAGGAATCAGAGCTTTGTATAAGGGAGATATATTGCTTAATTTAAAATAATTTCCAAAATTTTGTAACAGCAAATTTAAATAACACAAAATCAGTATTTTCATGCCAGTACCGAAGTACTGCCTACTGGGCTGGTGATACCCGCGTGGACTATCAGTCCACCAGCAGAGGCATCGACCCAGTGGTAGTAATAACATAAACGGTACCAATATTTCTGCATTAGATTGCCTTTCGACAATCACTGTCTCATCAGAGATGCTCGACGCCAAACCATTGAGATTCGAATTAACTCCAAAAGTAGCGAGACTCACGGCCATAGATAGGGTGAAAGTCAAATATCCGATACCTGAATGCAGAAATACCGAGTCACCTCATAAATTATACGACCAAAAGCAACACAATAGTACGGAGTCAAATAAGGGTAAACTGTAAAGTAAATAAAGAGATACACAACTTCAGCATCTGTAATCTATACCTCAAGACCATCTTGTATTATGTGTGAAGTAGACACTGCATTTTTGTCTATTAGGTCTTGGTCTTTTCCGATGAACTTTTTGCAAAACTGTTTTGCTCAAACATCGATGACGTTTTGAATTGCACCATACCGAGCGGTCTAAAATGCAGAAGTTTATAAATCACGTCCACGTAGAGCAAATGCTTTGGAACCTTTAACCGTATGCCTAAACTGTTGAGTACGAATGATTATAATCAAAATCAAAATATAAATAAATGAGATATTTATACTAAATATCAGGCAAGTTAACACCAGCACAGCGTCTTGAAATTTAAGTGGAGGTGTTTCGTACCCGCTTTTAAACTGATGCACATTCTGTCAAATGAGCAGCATCAGAAAAATACTTGTCTATAAGTGGTAAAAAACAATCCAAAATTATGATGCTGACCGGGAAGTATCAATATCTTTAAAAATGTAATTTGAGCTACAACCTTTTCAAGTTTTATTGAACAATCTACTTGTAATATAGGTCAATTTTGCTGCTATCTTGGTCGATTATATTTGGCACATATGATGTCAGCGGTTATTGTCATTTGAACCGAAAGAATAATTTATGAGTTGTCTCATTGGCAATCATACCACATCTTCTTTTTTATATATATGCTTGAAAAGACCATTCGTGATACATGTATTACAGTAAATCTCATATCCTTGTTTTGCTTTATAAGTATTTTCTTCGATAATGAATTTTCCGTTTTCCTTACTATGACATATTTTGATTAGATATATGTTAAACGAATCTTTTATTATTTTATCAATTAAATTAAAGTCTTACACTGCTTGTAAGCTCATCCTTTTCTTTTGTCTGGTTCCCTTGTGTAGATTTTGGCAACTGTGGTACCACAGAAGACTTATCAGGCAGTGGCGGTGTCGCAGTTCGATGATTCAAGCTTCTTGGAGCTGGTGGCATTCTAGAGTCGTCATCTTCCTTTATGTAGCTAGTTACATGCGAATTCTTTCCTGAAATTGTAATAAAAGAGGGGCGGCGAAATATTTCAGAGGGACATTCAAACTCATCAATCAAAAAATAAACTGACAACATTATGGCTAAAAAAGAAAAAAACAAACAAACAAATAGACACACAATAGTACACAAAACACAACATAGAAAACTAAAGACAAAGCAACACGAACCCCACCAAAAAAACTCGGTGATCTCAGGTGCTCCGGAAAGGTAAGCAGATCCTTCTCCACATGTGGCACCCTTCGTGTTGCTCATGTTAATACAAACCCGGTAAATAGTCTAATTCGGTAGGTCACATTCGTGAAAAGGGAACGGGATTGTAGTTACGACATTAGGAGCATATCCGCTATCATCTGTGAAACGGATATTCCATAACGGTCAACCGACTCGTGATGGCGTCCGTAAAATTTACGAAGTGATGATTTTAACTTCACCATTTGGAACTCTTGTTTTAATAGCTTCCTTGTGAACAGCAAACCTCTATCAAGGAAATCATGATAGGAAATACAAGCCCGGGAATATCGTATCAATTTGGAGATATATACTCCGTATGCAAACGCTGCGGGAATGTTGCTATATAGAAATTGAAACTTCACAATTGGGAAGCTAAAATCATCTCTTTTGTCGTAAAGTTTTGTTTTCAACCGACCCTCATAGTCAATTTCTAGATGTACGTCAAGATATGAGGCAGACTTAACTGTATCTGTTGTATCCTTTATCTCTAGTTTGATGGGATAGATGCGTTCAACATAGTCACCAACTTTTCGATTATTTAGTGAGAGAACATCATCTATATAGCGGAAAGTAAAGTTAAAAGATACTGCTAACTTCTTTTCTTTTTTCCTAAGAAGTTCCTGTATGAGTTAGTAATAAACATATCTAATTAAAACCAAAGCATCGCTCAGTTAAAAGTTATACATTTTGGGTATTGTTTTATTGCAAGCCCTTTCACACGTATATAATGTATTGTGAACGAGGGGAAAATGAAGTTAAACTTGTTGGATGCATAGTACGTACAAATAATATAACTTTTAATAACTTTCTTTTAAAAGAGTAACACTATGTATTTCTAGTCATGGAATCAGGATGAAAAAGATGTTAGAATTGATTGGAAAAAAAGTTTGTTTCTTTATCAAAAATAGCTTAAAGGTAAAATAACAAAAATACCAAACGTCAGCAAAAATTCAAAATGGAAAGTCCCTTATCAAATGGCAAAATCAAAATCAGTTTTTGGTGGGGTTCGTGTTTCTCAGTCTTTAATTTTCTATGTTGTGTTTTGTGTACTGTTGTTTGTTTGGCTTTTTTTATTCAAACCATGGCTTTGTCAGTTTATTTTCGACTGATGAGTTTTAATGTCCCTTTGGTAACTTTTGCCTCTCTTTTATAAGTATTTGTAACATTCTGAAGCATATGCAAATTTTGGAAACGTCTGGTGTTCACGTTTGACGCTAAGAAATCTGATCATAGCAAAATAACACAATGTCGGGACAAAACAAAACGAGTCACACCAAAAGGATATTACCAAAAATGGAATAAACCGAAAAGGTTAAAAATATACAAAGACAAATAGAAAGAGCACTTTAACACGTAATTAAGATGACAAACAACGTCCGAACCTAAAATCTATACTTCAAGACCATCGTGTATCATTTATGAAGTTGATACGAAATATTTATCGATAAGGTCTTGGTATCTTCTGATGAACTTGTTTTAAAAAAGGACGAGACGTTCGTTGACATAACCTGGTTCATCAACTTTCGGCTCAGACACTGGTGACATTTTGTAAAGTTTTGAGTAGCAGCTGCATGCTCTTGAATATCAAATGATTTGGGAAATACATCTCCAATATCCAGGTGAAGTTGGTATATTGCCGCTAAGGTGTCTAAAGTTCATAATTTAAAAATTAAAATCGTCTCGTTTGTCATAGATTATGGTACTGAGATAACCGCTTAAGTCAAATTTCAGGTATAAGTCTAAACATGAGGCAGAAGAAGCCGTGTCTGTTGTTTCTTTAATTTCTAGTTCTGGAGGATATAGAAAAAAAAATTGAAAGGAAATCATCAATATATCTGAATGTGAAATTAAACGATCTTGTTTCTTTGATCTTCTTGTATTTGACAAGTGTCTGAAGGAAATCCGACTCATATGAACATAAGAAGTAGTCGGCAAGGAGAGGAAAGTTCGTTCCCATAGGAGAGGAAAGCTCGTTCCCATAGGAATGCCGACAATTTGTTGAAAAAGTCTACCTCCAAATTAAACAAATATGTTGTTAATAAGAAACTCCAGTATACAGATCACTTGTTCCTCGGTGTAGCATATACAACCATTTTGTTCACTATTACCAAAACATGCCGTATGGTATCCCAAAGCAATAAATGTTTAGCGTATACTACCATTTTTGTATTGAAAAGCATTGTAGATTATTTTTTTAGACGATCTTTCAGTTTCACATGGAATAATGGTGGTATAAAAGCTGGAAAAATAAAAGGTTTTGATAGAATTTATTTCAGAGAAAATCGAGATTGAAAATTACCCAGAAGTTCTTTAGAGCTTTTTAGAATCCACATATGGTTATTACCACTACGCCAGTAAACATATTCTGAAGACCTTCTTTCATTGCGGACAGAACTTTTGTCAATCTCATGAACAATTTCTTTGTAGAAAATGCATATGAGCCGAACTCCGACAGTAAAACCTACGTTTTTCGTATAGGCCAAGCATTATATACAATACAGTTATCTTCTCAATTTATGGTTACAAATCTTTAAAAACAGTACTGTTATTCCTATTCTAATGTACATGCTGTATATGATGTAAACTGTTCAAAATTAAAAAAATTGAAATATTGAACGTTCGGTACATTAATTGCAAGTACTTTCTTACATGTACTACACATTTAGAATAAAACGTACCTTTGACTTCACTGTGTTTTTGTTGTTGCGTTGTGTCTTGTTGCTTAGGAAACTCCTTCTTTTCTAATTTCTAAAAAAGTATTTGTTTTAATTACTTTCAATTATATCACTATATTAAACAGTGTACTTCATAATGAACATGTGTACCAAGTGTCAAGTTGATGTTATTGCAAACTAACTTTCACCGAGATGCCACGTATTAATATGGGTTGTTAGGCACAGGTCCATTTTTCAGGGAGAGTGGACTGCATCAGCAAGAAACACATAAGCTACTTATAAATGGAAGCAGTAGTACGCGCGATCAAATAATTTCTGACGAATTTTATATGTCAATCAGTTTTGATAAGCTCAGATAGCAAAACGGTGGACTAGTAATTTAACAGAAAATAGAGGACCAATAGAACCTTTAAGGCTGCTTACATAATGTTGAAGAAAAACAGCATTGCAGATCAGTTTAGCAGAACAAAATTAAGCTTACAAAATGTTGAAACTTTTTTTAACATTTGTGGTGCCAACCTCTGAAAGATTTTTTTGCCTCGACAGAAAAACTTCAAACAAAAATGTTTGATTATGAATTCAAAATCCTCAAATGTTCGCCTTAGATGTCTCCCCCACTTTGCGTGATTCCCAAAGTATTGCAAAATATGAAGAAGCTTCAATGTCAGATTCACTTGGTATATGAATTGTGGATAAAGGCACAACAGCACATAAAACTACTTTATAGTAGTTCCGGTTATACAATCGATCTTTCCCAGGCATAAGCTTTTCGAAAGAACTTAGAGAAATACTCTTAGTTTTAAGGCATACTGAAAAAAAAAAATATAGAAAAAATACTGAACTCCAAGGCAAATTCAAAAAGGGGAAGTCCATAAAAACTGACATAATCAAACGCTATCAATCACCGGAACATGTGAAAAATAACAGCCATATTCCTGATTTGGAACAGGCAGATCCCACAGAGACAAACGTTCCAAATTAAAGTAATAATGTAGCTGGTGTTGTTCACTAGAGATTATTCCCAATGACCATTTTACACCTGTTGGCAGATTGTTTATCTCATTTGATTGAAAATGAATTGCAATAAATGACAATTCCAGGGTAAAGATCTATGTTGTTAAATTAATGTTTTACCTCGGATTGATGCTATTGAAGCAGGTAACACCCATATATCACAATACATATGAAAGGTGTTTTTAACTCTAGACCACATACGTCGAAATTATTACTTGAATGAGATTTGCAGTTGGTTTTAAGCTGATTGCAAAAAGTTCATGTTGAACCTTTTGAAAAATTTTAGTTGAAAACGCAGTGAAAAAAGCGTTGTTATAACCTCTTTTATTACTTTCGGGAACTTTTCCGTTTTACAGTTTCACAGAGTAAACCCTACCGTTAAGAGGATACAGCTTACATTTATCAAATGTGGTTTTCTCGTGAGTTTCGAAAGGTAACAGTATCCTGTTCTTTTATAAGAATTAGTCGTGTTGTTCGTGGTAAGTACGCTTCCACACGGTTATGATACATTTGATAAAAAGTGGACGGAATTGTGGTTAGAACAATTAGAACATATATCGGTCATCTGTAAATTAAGAAATGAGTAGTCTACTGATGTTCAAATCTCACGAATCCAATGAAAAGACAACAAGAGGGTCGAAGTCAAATACCCAATGGCTGGATGCATAAATACCGAGTCACGTCAAAAATTATACGACCAAAAGCTACACAATATTATAGATACAAATAAGGGTAAACTGTAAGGTAAATAAAGAGATACACAACTTCAGCACCTATTATCTATACTTCAAGACCATCTTGTATTATGTAGACACTACATATTTGTCTATTAGGTCTTGTAACTTTCCGATGAACCTTTTGTGAAAATGTTATGCTCAGACATCAAAGTTTGAATCGCAGCATAGCAATCAGTCTAAAGTGCAGACATTTATAAATCACGTTCAGTTAATTAGAACAAATCCTTTGGAACCTAACCGTATGCATTCATGAGACGCGCAGTTTATATTTCGTTTATGGTGTCATGGTGTGCTGTCGTAAATTCATGGGAGGTGTCCGTTGTTATTCTGCGGTTTACATGTTGTTATGTACTATTATATTATTTATTTATGTATTTCTCTTTGCTGAGTGTTCTTGCGTTTGTTTGTACTGTATTCCTGTCACGTAGTGTTGTCATTTTAGCGGTATTTTTAACATTGCTATAAACACGGGAGGTTTGGCTAACCATAAAACGCTGTTCAACCCACCATTTTTTCTTAAAATGTCCTGTACCAAGTCAGGAATATGGCAGTTGTTATCTACACTCCGTTTCTATGTATGTTGGAGTTTGCTTTTGTTGTAGTTCAGTGTTTCTGTTAATCCGTTGTTTTCCTCGTAAAGTTGATGTGTTTCCCTCGGTTTTAGTTTGTTACTGGGATTTGTTTTTGCTTTCTCGAATTATGACTATTGAACAGCGGTATACTACTGTTGCCTTTACTTATAGCTGTTGAGTACGAATAATCAAAATAAAAATGAAAAACATGTATTACTCAAAATATAAATTAATGAGATATTTATACTAAATATCAGGCAAGTTTTTAAACAGCATAGCATCGTAAAATTTAAGTGGAGATGTTTCGTACCCGCTTAAAACTGATTCACGTTCTGACAAATGAGCATCATTAGAAAAATACTTGTATATAAGTGATAAAGAGCAATCCAAAATTATGTTGCTGACTGGGAAGTATCAATATCTTTAAAAAATGTAATTTTTATTGATCAATCTACTTGTTATATAGGTCAATTTTGCTGCCATCTTGGTCGACTAAATTTGGCACATATGATGTCAGGGTCATGTCATTTGAACTGAAAGAATATTTTTTATATGCTTGAAGAGACCATTCTTGAAACATGTATTACAGTAAATCTCCTATGCTTGTTTTGCTTATAAGCATTTTTTTCGACAATGAATTTTCCGTTTTCCTTACTATTATATATTTTGATTAGATATATGTTAAACAAATCTTTTATTATTTTATCAATTAAATTAAAGTCCTACAACGCTTGTAAGCTCATCTTTTTCTTTTGTCTGATTTCCTTGTGTAGATTTTGGCAATTGTTGTACCACAGAAGACTTATCAGGCAGTGGCGGTGTCGCAGTTCGAGGATTCAAGCTTCTTGGAGCTGGAGGCATTCTAGAGTCGTCATCTTCCTTTAAGTAGCTAGGTACATGCGAATCCTTTTCTGAAATTGTAATAATTATATCGAATTAAAACTAAAACATCGCTCAGTTAACAATTATACATGTTGGTGATTATTTTATTATAATCCCTTTGTCACATATATAATTTATTGTGATTAAGGGGGATGAAGTTAAACTTGTTGGCTGCATAGCACATACAAATAAGATAGCCTTTAATAACTTTCTTTTAAAAGAGTAACACTATTTATTTCATGGAATCAGGATGAAAAAGATGTTAGAATTGATTGAAAAAAAACCAGTTTGTTTCTTTATCAAAAAAGGCTAAAAACTCACGCATCATTGTCAATATACTAGTAATAGAAATTGATGCGACTGTCGTACAAGTGAGAGGTTTAGCGCTATAAAACCAGGTTGAATCCACCATTTTCTACATTTGAAAATGCCTGTTTCAAGTCAGGAATATGACAGTTGTTGTCCATTCGTTTGATGTGTTTTATCATTTGATTTTGCCATTTGATAAGGGACTTTCCGTTTCGAATTTTCCTCGGAGTTCAGTATTTTTGTGATTTACTTTTTTGTATAATAACAAAAATACCGAACTTCAAGGAAAGTCCCTTATCAAATGGCAAAATTAAAAGCTCTATAACACATCAAAAGAATGGAAAACAACTGTCATATTCCTGAATAGGTACAGGCATTTTCTTATGTAGAAAATGGTGGATCAAACCTGGTTTTATAGCTTGCTAAACCTCTCACTTGTATGACAGTCGCATACAATGATCCCATGGTATACCGGTCTGTAAGTAAGGTAACTTCCAATTTTGTATTTCGGAATTTTTTAATATGAGATATTGAAGTAAAGAATAAACCAAAAAGTCACATTGTTTTCTTGAACATTTTTTTATCACAAGGAAGCTATTAAACTAAGAGTTCCAAACGGGGAAGTTGAAATCATCCCTTCGTAAATTTCACGGACGCCAGCACGAGTTTGTTGACTGCTATAAATTATCTGTTTCATAGATGACGTCGAATATGTTTCAATTATCGTAACTACAATCCCGTCCCCTTTTCCCCTAATGTGACCTACCAAATCAGACTTAATACCGGGTTTGTACTTACATGAGCAACACGACGGGTGCCACATGTCGAGCAGGATCTGCCTACCCTTTTGAAGCACCTGAGATCAACCCAAGTTTTTTCTATTTTAGCCATGGCGTTGTCAGTTTATTTTCGACTGATGAGTTTGAATGTCCCTTTGGAATATTTTGCCTCTCTATTATCAGTATTTGTATCATTCTGAAGCTTATGCAAAAATGGAAACGTCTGATGTTTACGTTTTACGCTACGAAAACTGACCATTGGACAATACACAGTGGCGGGATAAATAAATATCGAGCCACACCAAAAGGATATTACCAAAAATGGAATAAACAGTAAAGGTTAAAATATACAAAGGCAAATAGAATTAACACTATAACACGTAATTAAGATGATTAACAACGTCAGAACCTATAATTTATACTTCAAGACCATCCTGTATTATTTATGAAGTTGATATGAAAAATGTATCGACAAGGCCTTGGTATCTTCTGGTGAACTTGTTCAGAAGGACGACACGTTCGTTGACATAAACCTGGTTCATCAACTTTCTGCTCAGACACTGGTGGCGTTTTATAAAGTCTGAGTAGCAGCTGCAAGCTCTTGAATACCGAATGAGTTGGGAAATGTATATCTAATATCAAGGTGAAGTTGGTATATTGCTGCTAAGGTGGGAGAAGTTTATATTTCAAAATTAGAATCGTCTTGTTTGTCATAGATTATTATACTTAGATGACCGCTTACGTCAAATTCGAGGTATAAGTCTAAACATTAGGCAGAGGAAGCTGTGTCTGTTGTTTCTTTAATTTCTAGTTCTGGAGGATATAATGATGGAACCCAATCAGAAAAGTTTGGATTGTTAATTGAAAGAACATCATCAATATATCTGAATGTCAAATTAAATTATCTGGCTTCTTTGATCTTCTTGTTTTTGACAAGTATTTGAAGGAACTCCGACTCATATGAAAATAAGAAGAAGTAGGCAAGAAGAGGAAAGTTCGTTCTTATAGGAATGGCGACAATTTGTTGTAAAAGTCTACCTCCAAATTAAACAAATATGTTGTTCATAAGAAAAATATGAAACACCAGTTACTGATCACTTGTTCCTCGGTGTAGCATATATTACCATATTGCTCACTATCAACAAAACAAGCCGTGTGGTATCCGCAAAGAATTATATATATGCGACGGTAGTTTATCTATATGAAAAAAAAAAAGAGAAAGAAGCAGATGAAAAATATGGACTCCTGTTTTTTTCCACATGGTTGGCGTCAACTTTTTTTGACAAATGCTTTATAAAGAAGAGAAATGTACACATGATTTACCTGGATCTTTCACCCATTCAAGAAGAGTGTTTTTGAACAGACGAACATGTATCGATTTCTTTGCCATTCCAACCTTCTGCATGACGTCTTTAAATTTCAAATCGTCTGCTTCAGATAACTGCAGTACATCGCACTCACCTGAAACAAAGTTTATAATGCAATGGTCGATTAACCATGTTCCTGATCTTCAAGATAAATACATGTAATTGCTAAATGTATTTTATTTGTGGGTGTTGACATTTTTAATTACAACATGTTATAAAAACATGAACATTACAAATTTTACTATACCAATGCAGAGTAAACAATTAATATCGCTTCAGTTATGGTCGAGGTAAAAAAAAATTTGAAAATCCAAAACATTATACAAACGGTGAAAAGTTTGAAAAAACAAAATAATATATAACATAAATTACCCTGCTTTATAGACGGGTTTATCCACGTCTTATCTCAAAAACATGTGAGCTGCCATTAAGAGGTCACGTGGTACGTCGGCCATAATACTCGTGAATGATAACGCACGTGCAATCAATAATCTATATAGTCTATATAATTGTCGGTCATTTATAACGTTTTTGTTTCACATATTTCATGTACATATGACCATGCACGGCAAATAACGAAAAATATAGGAAAGGGGGTGGAAATTCTTGTGCTGTTAATGGATGTTCTAATAATCGTCGTAAATTAAATGATTGGAACGTATCATTTTGTGAATTACATGGACAAAATCACAAAGACTGTTCTTGTTTGGTTCCATTTAAACTACATGTTATGCCCGCTAATGAGACAAAACGATTACAGTGGATTAAAGCTTTAAATAGAAAAACACTTCCAAAGCAAGTATTCATATGCTCGGGTCACTTTCTAGACGGAGCTCCGACGAAACAAAATCCTTTCCCGAAATTAAATCCTGGGTATGAAAGCCAGACAACCCCGGTAGACGTAAATTGTCGAGACAAGAACCAGAAAGTAGAAAAAGGAAACGTTTACTGGAAGAAAGCAGTAGTACCAAGACGAGTGTTGACATTTATCAGACTGAACTGCTTCCAGAAGCTTTTTGTGATTTTAATGTGGTTAATCCACCTACGGCATCAGCTGGAACACAAAATATATGTCGATTCTGATTATATGATTTCACAGGATCACATGTATTCAAAACCCTGGTCGGACACACAGAATACCTTTACTCAAACGAATACGGCGTTGACTTAAAAGGGGGTTCAAGTCAAAATTGAAAGTAGCGTTATGTTCGCAAAAATAAGTATAGTAACGGACAGTGACTCTTTGTTATATACTGGTGTAAGTAAAGAAGTATTTTTTACGTTAGCAGAGGTTATGTCAGAAGTAAATACATTTAACTTTCAACTTGAAGTCGCCGACCAGTTACTACTAGTGTTGATGAAACTTAAACTAAACTTGCTGCTTGATGACTTAGTTCGTAGATTTGGAATTTCTAAAAATTTAGCTAGTAAAATGTTTAATGCTTGGATGGCAGACCTTGCAGAAAAACTTAAGGATTTAGTTGCATGGTTGCCGAGGGAAACAATACGAGCATGTTGTCCCGAATCTTTCCTAGAACATTACCCTCGCACCACTGTAATAATAGACTGTGCCGAAACATTTATACAACGACCTACGAACTTGAAAACTAGAAGTGAAACTTTCAGTAATTACAAGTCGCACAAAACCGCCAAATATATAGTTGGAATATCTCCACCGTGATGCACAAATCATGTTTATTTCCAAAGCTTTTGGCGGAAGAGCTAGTGACAAGTTTATCGTGGAAAAGAGTGGATTTTAAAACTATGTATTGCCGGGTGACGAAGTAATGGCAGATCGTGGATTTACAATTGAAGATTTTCTTTTTCATCGTCGTGTAAAATTAAACATTCCGATCCTGCATTTACAAAATGCAAACCCCAGCTTTCAAATGAAGATGTCACAACTACTAGACGTATTGAACATGTACGAATACATGTAGAGCGTGCTATTCGTAGACTGAAAGTATTTAAAGTTTTAAGTGGAACTGTACCAGTGTCGTCTTTAAAGAATTTTGATGACATCCTTATTGTTTGTTCCGCATTGGTAAATTTGATATCAGATTTAATACGGGATGTCAATGTAGATACGGATTGAATATAATTACATTGTAAATTGTGTTTTTCGTCCTTTATTTTTTTTATTACATTTTTATTCAACCTTCAGATTGTTTTATTTTAATTAATTGATTTCCTTAATTGATTTGAATGAAAGAATTCAGGAAGTGTGATATATGTCAATGAGACTGTAACCCAACAATAAAAGTTAGATTACATCATCAAAAACTCTTCAATGAACAGTGGACTAAATCTCCTGTCTTGGATGTCATTAAATGTGAGTGTGTATAAACTAGCTTGGAGACGATAATTCCTGGTCTTCTTAATATTGTTGTTATGAACAGTGAAAATTAAAAGATAATTGTATATTAAATCATATATATATTCTGGTAATCATAGACCTGCTCATTACTTTTTATTATTAAATTGTATCGAATTATAAGCATCTGGACTTATCAAAGTAGGAATTACGGATCTCCTAATGTGAACTCCTGGGGTAATACATGTTTATTACATAACAAGCAATTACGTTAACATGAGAAGGTAAACAAGTCAACACTGTTTGCCTTTCCAACTGTGATTATCCCTAGTAAATTACACACATGTCTATGAAGTCTTCTTGTCCAAACGTCAACATTGCATACAAATGTGTTATCTCATTAATATGAGATAATTATCAAATTTAATAATTCAGATCATTCATTTTGGTTGTATCAACAATAAGATATTATGTGTGTTCAGATAGCGTGCTTTCTCTAATGTTTACAATGTTTCACGACCTTAATGGCGACCGGACATCGATGACCTCGTGCGGACATGTGCAATACTAAGGGGATAAATAGAAAGACCCGTCTATAGAAGAATGGCCGCTCTACTTATTTACTCACCCAAATATAAATTGAATGATGCCTCCCTGTATGATTAAAAATGCATACGTTATTTACCGTGTGGTAGGTTGAAAAATAAAGTTTACAGACAAGGCAATGACAATAATTTTTCCAATGTGAAAATTTAATATTTGTGTGGCATTATTTCGGAAGCACATGCATATATAGTGTATATATTTCAAATTTGTATAAAATTGTCCACTAAAGATCAACATTAAATCATTTAATATAAGTAAAATATTTATACATGATGTGGATAAACACGGAGATAACTTACTGATATATATAACATAGTTTATGAGTTCTCCTCCATCCTTTACCCTTAATTGTTGCAATAATGAAAGAAAGAAAGACAGTTCGTGAAACGTGTTAACAAAGTAATTTCTTATTTCTACATTTCTCAATGTTTCTAGATAAATAAAATTTGGATATAAATCAAACATGTATATTCCATACTCTTAGAGGAAAGAAATATATATTTTAGGTGAGCTTTATAGTGAATGGATGTTTAGTTTTTTTTATTATTTATATTCTTTTAGCAAGTTGTATATGTTTAATTGAATCTAGAGATGTAATATGACACCTCACTTGTTGGAGTGATGTGAAATAAACATGAGACAAACTTGACCAGATCAGACATGGAACGCAAAACAATGCACAGTTTTGTGAGCATGTGCTATTTGTGTGGTCTCTTCCCTTTTGTCAAAATTATTGTTTTCCTTGTTTTATGAATAAATTTAATTCATAAACTGAAAAAATGGTGTTTAAATATTGAAATGAAGTTAAGAATATCATGCAAATAAATACAAAAACTTAGTTTGACTTAAATTCTATAGATAAAAAATTCAGATTTATCTCCCCTAGAACACAAATGTAAATCTGAATGAAGACAGGAAATATCTTAGCTTGATATTATTTGTTTTAAATGTGTTTCATTTTCTTTTGTTTTTGTTTATTTTATGTATATATTTATTATAAACATGGATTTCTTTTATTTGGCAGATATATCATGTATATGGTATATTTTTTGAACAAGTAGAAAATTATGAAAACAGTTCTGATGTCTCACATGAACTATTTGTTGCTTCGTGTTGTTTGTGTTTGCAAATATTTTACTTCACAGTATTATTGAAGAGGAATTACCATAATTGAAGGAAAATATTAAAACATTGTCCTACACTTTACACTGACTTCTTAATAAGAAAACACGGAGATTATATATTTTCATTATCTGGATTCAAAAGATTCAAACATTTATTGTCTCTAAGACATACGTTGTAGAACAAGATGAAGATCTAATTAAAAACAAAAGGAGCAATGTCTGTTTAATATATATGCTTCAAATAAGCAAGGAGTTGCTATTCTGTTTTGAAAATATCTTTGACTATAAAATGCGTAGTGTTGAAAAAAAAATACGTTGGTTGGCAATCTATTGGGATTTGATGCTAATGTTGAAAAAAAGTTATTTACATTTATCAATATTTATGGACCGAATGTTGATATTCCTTGCTTCTATTACAAATTAACAGAAATTATAGATTTCGTCAGAAATCAGTTTTGTATTATCTGTTGAAAATTTAATCTTATTCAAAATTTCAATCTTTACACCAAAAACTATAGAAATACAAACAATCCAAGATAGTAGAAAAAAGAGTAAAATAGAAAAATCCGCTGACCGAAAAGACTAGAAAAAAGGTTAGCATAAAGCAATAAAATGTGAACATAGAATTTTGAGACAGAACAATGTTAAAAGTCAGTATGTTAGGTCAAGAACCCAGTGCATTGAAAAAGAAGAGAGGCCAACTGATTTCCTTTGCCATTTAGACACATAAAAAATTTGGTTGATAAAACTATTTGAAAATGTGTTATAGATGAAAATACCGTAGTAGAGAATCATTAAGAAATGTTATAACAATCAAAAATATTTAATGAGAAACTTTACAAAAGACATGAGTTTCTTACAAAAAAGTAAATGTATCAAGGGAAATACCGTTTTTGACGTCTAAATTTAAAGATAATGAAAATAAATCCTTCTGATGTAACACTTCCTTTACTGAATTAAAACATGCATTAAAAGGATGAAAAATAATAAAAGTTCTGATGGTTTTACTGCAATAATTAGGTAAACACTGGAAACTTTTTCCTGAGGTTGATAAATTATGCATATCAAATATGGGGAATGTCTGTCACAACCCAGAGGGAGTTATCACATGTATTTCAAAAGAAGGCACGTCACAACAGGTCTTAAACAATTGGCGTCCAATTACACTTTTGAATTCAACATTAACATTGGCTTTTAGCTGTATAGCTGAGCGGATAAAGTCAGTACTAAACACAGTTATTGAATCTGATCAAAAAGGCTTTATTCCGGGGTGATTTATTGGGGAGAATCGTAGACTTGTTATGATATTTAAAACTTCACAGAAGAAAACAATATGCCTGGTATATGTTATTCATTGATTTTGACTCTTTATCATTGGCATTTTCTTTGAAACTCTTAAGTATCTTTAATTTGGAAGTTCCGTTATGAATTGGATAAAAAAAAACATTTTACAATGATATTTTAGCAGTCTGACAGATGATTCAGGGTTTATCCTGTCTTAATATGCAGACGACACATCACTGATTTTAGATGGATCGCTTTCCTCGCTAGATGCATCCCTCCTCATATTTCAATTATGTGCTGATATATCAGGACTGAAAATTAACTTAGACAAAACAAACGTTACATGGATAGGTAGAAAAAGACATAATCAAGACAAAATATGTGTAAAGTTGGGACTGCAGTGGGGTTCAAAATTATTGGATTGATTTAGATAGAATGTTGAACCTAAATTATGATCCTTAAAGAACAAAAAATAGAAAAGAACATACAAAAATTGTCAAAACAGCCACTTACCCAATTTGGTTAAATAACATTTTAAAGTCTCTTATGATATCAAAATTTAATCAGATGTTATTATCCCTCCCAGGTCCAGAGGGAACGTCAACTTAGTAGCAACATGTATTCATTCATTTTGGATAATAAAATGACAAGATAAAGCGTGATTTTCTATGACTAGAATACTACAGAGGGGGCCTAAAAATTATTAATTTGAGCAATTTTATACAAGGGTTAAAACTGACTTGGGTTATAAAATTATTTAAGCCAAATTCTAAGTGAACAAAACTATTAACTTCTACACAAAGTATACATTTTACAGACATATCTTATTTTGGAACACTTAAAATATAAAAAAAAAATCATTTAAAGTCTGGAAAAAAATTGTCAAAACTCAGATTTCATATCATTTGAGGAAGTCATTTGGGCATCTTTATTGAATAATGAGCAAATTATTAATTGATAATGTCAGTGTTTACTATGATAATTCGGCAGACCATGTGGTATCGAATGTAAATGACCTGTTCAATGAACATTGAAATGTATTAACCTATGAAAATTTGAAGGAATGTATAATTTCAAACCAATTTTCTCTTCGCTTTATGGAGCTTATACTAGCACTAAAAGAGGGTTGCAACCCATTGATTTCAACACTGAAAATGAGAAAAAAAGCAACAAGCTTTGTGCTTTTTAATATTGATAGTTACCTCAAGTCAGAAAAGAGTTCATATACTATTTCAAAACTATAGATTTTGCAGCAGAAATAAATGGGATGGTATTCTAAATGAGTTGTTGGAAATTGGGCAAAAATACACTTTTTTTGGTTACCAAGTTTCGAAAAATACTGTCATCGGTATAGATTTATTCTTTATATTGAAGATACAAACGCCCTACTCTTTAAAATGAAACTTGTAAACTGTAATATATATACATTTTGCAAGGAGGAGACAGAATCTATAGAACATTTACTTTGGAGTTGTCATATGTAGCCGACAGTCGGCAGAGTCTGAATTCTCGGATTTGATATCGTACATTTTTGGCCTTTTCAACATTTTAAATTGAATTTTATGAAAAGTAAAGTCATTTTACTGACAAAGTACTTTATTTAGAGATCTACATGTAAGATGCAAGATGTAAAACTTCATACCAAATGACTTAAAAAATTACTAGAATACAACTTGTACTGAACCCCTGGGTTAAAGTTACTGATTAGATATTGATGGCATAACTTCATATGCATATGTGTGTATATTTTATGTAAATATGTATATTTGAATGTACATGTATGGGTATATGTAGGTGTATTTATGTTCATGCACTATCATTACTTTTGTTAATATAATTTAGTGAAAATGGTATTATTATACATAATACGTAAATTTGATACTGTTATACATTGTTATGCTAATTTATTTCACTTGCTTGATTATTGTGCCACAGGATAAATATATGTAAATACTTGTAACTGCATGAAGGAAAAAATATATATATAAACAAGCATTCTGAGAGTATTGCATGGCAATACATAGTCCCCTACCGGGTAAAAATTTGTTTTACTGGAACAACATGCTAACTTGTTCTATAACTTGTCATGGTGTAAACAAAAAGTAAATATCATGTCAATATCTTCAAGCATGACTAAAAACAGTGTGGAAAACTGATTATATGAGTGAAAAAATAATTAGATATGTTTAATAGTTCTCTAAAATTAGATATGATGTAATACAGTGTATATCTATTTTCAAATTGTAATCAAATATAATTGATAGTTCCAAATATTTTTTCTTTCATTTGTCACAAAGTAATATAGATTCGTAACTTATCTATAAAATTTCAACAATATTTATCCACACAATGTAATGTATTGAAATATATACATTAATAAAAATAGATTATTATCCAATTAAAGGATTTCTCTTCATAAATTTTTCTTTATATATATATATATATAGCATTCAGAAAATTAGTTTATACTAAATAACAAACAAACCTGCTAAAAAATTCTTCAAATGATTTAACAATGAATGTCTTTTAAAAAATGAGTTATCTCCCTTTGTACAGAAATATGGTTTAACATAGTACTCGAACATTAGATATGGTCCTTAACTCTAGACTAAATTATCAGACCGGAACAAAATTCGAACTTGATCTCTAACTTGTCATGATAAAACAATATACTAAATATCAAATCAATATCTTCAAGCATGAAGAACAAAAGTGTGGAAAGCTGATTTGCCGGACTGACAGAAGGACAGACAGACGGACAGACGGACGGAGTGCAAACCTAAAGTCCCCTTCGACTTCGTCGGTAGGGGACTAAAAAAAAAGGTTTCTCCAAGTAAATTGAAAAAAGATTTGGTGGTTTAAAAAATTGACACAACCAAGCGCGCAACTATATCAACTAAGATCAACTACGTTGAATAGTATAACACTGAATGACGTTACATTGATAGCGATGTCTGAAAATGTCACCAGAAGTAAAAATATCCACAACAAAATTGCTAGTGTAAAGATTTTCAAATTGGAAAATTTCAAAATCTGCTGATTTTGCCTGTGCACCTGATGAGCGGGGTTCGTGTTGATCAGTCTTAATTTTTCTTATAAATTCTGACAAACACTAATCCTACGTTTTTTTTCAACAATCTTATAGAAAATGTTATTCTTTCTATGACATGTTATCGGACATAGCCAACTTTTGTAGCCTCCAATTGCAGAATCAGCGTAAGGCAATGGAGTTTGTAAACTATTATTAGATTTAATTTTGTTTCTAAAACATGTAACCTTGGCTAATCCACTTCATTTGAACTTTGGTGGATAGTTGTCTCATTGGCAATCATACCACATCTCCTTATTTTATAACCTATAAGAAAACACTGAATTTAATTCAATATACTGTACCTTGTCTGATGAAACCGTCATAATATTGAAGAAGGTTGGCTCTTTTTAGAACACAATGCAGCCGCCATTCTAACAAGTTCTGTGGTTGATTTGTTGCCATTCTAATCAACAAATCATCTGAAGATAACAAATTATGTGTTAAACACATGCAAACTAATAATGAATATAGACTTGTTAATTCCAGTCAACTCGCAAACTTATCCTACTTGAATGACGTGTTTTGCTCACACATTGTTGTAAATATAACGGAATTCTATGTGACTGACATACAAGTGAGAGGTTTAGCTAGCTATAAAACCAGGTCTTATCCACCTTTTTTTACAAAGGTAAATGCCAGCACCAAGTCAGGAATATGACAGTTGTTTTCCATTTTTTTAATGTGTTTTATCTTTTAAATTTGCCATTTGATAAGGGACTTTCCATTTTGATATAATAAAAAAAAGTGTTGCGAGGTCCTTTGATTTTATTTTCAGATACATTGAACATGTCCTGTCATTCAATAACCAGCATTTCAGTGATTGCTTGCATCTCATAAATACCAGTGAACCTTAGATAAGGGAAACTACCGACACTAGTTTCATATCGTGATCTTGTCCTCGATATTGACACAGATGGACGACTTCAAAACACAATGACACTCATAATAATTCAAATTTTCCAATTATCAGCTTACCATTTCTAAGCAGTGACATGCCCTGTACCACGTTTTTTGGCGTTTACATATCTCAATTTATACATTACGCTCGTGCATTTTCACGTAACATGGACCCCACATGCATGTGCTCCTTGACTGTTCAAATAACATTAGCGGTAGCAATTTTACAATACCAGATGCGCATTTCGACAATTAATGTATCTCTAGTGATGCTCGAGACTAAAATATTCAAAAATACAAATTATAATACACACATCGAAGAGCTGACCTAATCAAAAAGGACATTAGGTATAGCCACATTTGGACAACAAGGTATCGGAGCTTTGCACGAGGGACATAAATTCCATAATTTGAAATTATTTCCAAAAGTTTTTATTTGAAAATTTAAATCAGATAATATCCGTATTCTTATGCCATTATTTAAGTACTGGATACTTGCCTGGTGATACCCTCGGTAATTACAGTATACCAGCAGAGGTATCGACCAAGTGGTAGTAATAGCATGAACTACACTGACGGTACCTATTTAACTACACCAGATGCGCATTGTGACAAGTTGTTTCCTCAGTAATTTTCTAGTCGAAAATATTAAAAAAAATCCAAATTATATTAAAAATGATGAAGAGCTGATCAAACCAATGAGGACCTCAAGAATAGCCAAATCCTGACAATATATCACAGCTTAGCATTCAACATATTTATGTGAAAGGACGACTGAAATGGACACTATCTACGTTTTACTGTCACCATCACGAATTGGTTGACCGATAAGATGTGTCTGTGTCGCAAGCTCGGTCTTTAGATACTAAATTGGAAAAATAGCCACTGGTCTGAAATTTCATTTTACTGATTGTGTCCTATTCCAGATATATATAGATACTAGAAGTGATATATATAGATACTAGTAGTGATATATATAGATACTAGTAGTGATATATATAGATACTAGTAGTGATATATATAGATACTAGTAGTGATATATATATAGATACTAGTAGTGATATATATAGATACTAGTAGTGACATATATATATACTAGTAGTGATATTTTATATAGATACTAGTAGTGATATATATAGATACTAGTAGTGATATATATATAGATACTAGTAGTGATATATATAGATACTAGTAGTGATATATATATAGATACTAGTAGTGATATATATAGATACTAGTAGTGATATATATATAGATACTAGTAGTGATATATATAGATACTAGTAGTGATATATATAGATACTAGTAGTGATATATATAGATACTAGTAATGATATTCTAACTGAGTATGGATTCGAAAGTCGGTCATGCATGCTCATCTTCTCGGCGCACACAGTCGCACTCGTTTTTGGAGTTCATGCGATTTCTTCAGTTTTTGTATGGAATCTTGATTTGCTTCAGTTGTATATTCGTGATCGATTTTTGAGATTTGAACATCGGTATACTACTATTGGTGACATATATTCTTATACTAATATAGAATATGCTAATTGAAGAAAAGGTCTAATTAGAACAATAACTATTCTTATTTAAACACAAAAATGTGAAGATGGAGCAAAATTCTGCTAAGGATTATTACTTAACCAATGCACTCACATCGTAAATATACAATACTAGATCAATGTCAGAAAATGCCGTTTATGGATGATATTTATGAATTTTCAGTGGAGTTCTGTATTTTTGTTACTTTACATTTTTGTATAAATAATTAGAAGATGTGGTATGATTGCCAATGAGACAACTCTTCACAGTAATATATTTTTATCAAAAAGTTTTCGTGTGAAAGTGAAATATCAAAATCAAGAAAATAACAATAATTGTTATTTATGTTACATCTCTTTATAATATGTTTTCTTGGGTAAAATTACGCAGTATGATAACAGAATTCATGATGATTTAAAAGCAAAATATTATCAATGAAGTGGTATAAGTTCATTAGATTCATCCATAAAATGATATTTAGATGTATCTTGACCGTGTAAGTTTTATATGTACCGATGTAATGCATTGGCTATTTGAGAATAAAGATATTTATAGTATGGCTATAAACTGTGATTCATAACACTACAGGAAAAAAATTGCTATCAAAAAAGCGCAATTTGTGTCTATAGATATGCAAGCCTCAAATATTTGCCCAGCCTCAAATGTGTGTCCTTTTCTCTGATCTGTGTCCTATTCTATAATGCCTCATAAGTCATAGAAATGTCCCTTCTTTTCTTCCTTTTCTCTGCCCCGTTCAACAATGTCCCATGTGTTGACTTATCACCGGGTTTGTATTTATATGAAGCACCTAAGATCACCAACGGTTTTAATGGGGTTCGTATTGCTCAGTCTATGTTTTGTTTTGTAGACTGTTGTAATTCGTTTGTTAGTTTTTAGTTTTTTGCCATGGTATTGTCAGTTCGTTTTCGACTTATGAGTTTGACTATCCCTTTGGTATCTGCTGTCTCTATTAAAGAATTATCAAAGCACCATCGAGGAAAGAATTTTGTGTAATAGACGTCAATACGACTTTTACATTCGAAAGAAATTGATACTAGGCCATCAAAAAAATAATACATGCTGAATTTACCTAAGAGCTGCGTTCTTTGCAGATGACAAGCTAATACTTTATCAAAGAAATAAATGTGAAAAAAGTCAGAATAATATATTTTGGGGTTCGTCAAATAAGAAGATTAGTCTTTGACTGACAAACGGTAAAATGGATTTGAGTTCTCAAAGATCTTTGTGTCTTATTTTTTTCTTTTTGTTAGTTTAATTTTGAACATTGTGCAGCTCCTGTAAGGCAAGCCTCCGTTAAAATGATTTTTGCAGTTCGTTCTAATGTTGTGTTGCAGTAATTAGAATATTTAACACACTAAAGTTTTTATAATATTTTAAATCACAGATATAGCGTAAAGTACAAATGAAATGTGTAGTTTCATATAATTAAACAAAACCGATAACAATTGTCCCGTCGTTGTTACACAAAATCAATAAATATGACAAGATAAATATCAAGCTGAGATTTTTTCAGTTTAAAGACAATACATTATATTGTTCTTTTGGGATTTATTCATTTAAAAGATTGTATTTGGAACATTCATTTCATAAAACGGCATTTAAAAGTTGTCTAACAATACCTCAATGAGGATAATATTTCCATATTGGTGTACAATATAGACTTTTTTTAAATTCTTTCCATTACACACGTCTTATTATGATATTGCAAGGTTGAGTTATAAACAATATATCTACACATGGTAAAAATAACAGACAACATCGTTAAACCTTTATATCTAAAGTCAGATTTTTGCATTTCTCAAGGTTCAGTTTTGTTAAATCACCTCTTCAATGTTGTATTCAAATGTGGAAGTTCATGGAATATTTTGGCCAAGAGCATTACTGAAGAGATATTCATTTACCTTCGCAGTTGGTATAGTAAAATTTGTATAGTTTATATTCTTACTACCACTGGGTTAATACCTCTGCTGGTGAACTTTATGTACCCGATGGTAATACCAGCTAAGTAGTCAGTTCATCGAATACAGATATTGTTTTATTGAATTTTGATTTTTTTTAATTAAATCTGGGCTGAAACCTCGATTAAATCTCGGCTATACAGTAACCTTGTCATGATTAAGGTGTCTTATAACAATGTTTATAATGTAGTTAGAAAACTTCCTGCTGTCTTTATTTATCAAATATAGTTACAAAGTTATTTTTGTGCTAATATTTTCATAACTATAATATTCTACCCATTTTTGCTGCAGAAAAATAAAAAAATAATATTAGGTCAAAGTTAGAAAAATAGTAACTTTTTTTATAAGCCTCATACAACAAGTTTCAATTTTTCTGACAATGATCTAGTATTGTATATTTACGATGTGAGTGCATTGGTTAAGTAATAATCCTTGGCATAATTTCGCTCCATCTACACATTTTTGTGTTTAAAATTAGATTAGTTATTGTTCTAATTGGACCTTTTCTTCAATTAGCATATTCTATATTAGTATAAGGATATATTTAAGCAACAGTAGTATACCGATGTTCAAATCTTACAAATCGATCACGAATATCCAACTCAAGCAAATCAAGATTTCATACAAAAACTGAAGAAATCGCATGAACTCCAAAACGAGAGCGACTGCATGCGCCGAGAAGGTAAGCGTCTACTGCTATCATGCATCACCGGACATTCGAATCCATAAACAGTTAGAATATCACTACTAGTATCTATATATATCACTACTAGTATCTATATATATATATCACTACTAGTATCTATATATATCACTACTAGTATCTTTATATATCACTACTAGTATCTATATATATCACTACTAGTATCCATATATATCACTACTAGTATCTATATATATCACTACTAGTATCTATATATATATCACTACTAGTATCTATATATATATCACTACTAGTATATATATATATCACTACTAGTATCTTTATATATCACTACTAGTATCTATATATATCACTACTAGTATCTATATATATCACTACTAGTATCTATATATATATCGGGAATAGGACACAATCAGTAAAATGAAATTTCAGACCAGTGGCTATTTAGACCGCGCTGGCGACACAGACACATCTTATCGGTCAACCAATTCGCGATGGTGAGAGTAAAACGTTGGTAGTGTCTATTCCAGTCGTCCTTTCACATAAATGTGTTGGATGCTAAGCTGTGATATCTTGTCAGGATTTGGGTATACTTTAGGTCCTCATTGGTTTGATCAGCTCTTCATCATATTTAATATAATTTGGATTTTAAAATATTTTCGAATAGAAAATTACAAGGGAGACATAACTTGTCACAGTGCGCATCTGGTGTAGTTAATAGGTACCGTCAATGTGGTTCATGCTATTACTACCACTTGTTCGATACCTCTGCAGGTATACTGTAATTACCGAGGGTATCACCAGGCAAGTATTCAGTACTTCAATACTGGCATAAGAATACGGATATTATTTTATTTAAATTTTCCGATAAAAACTTTTGGAAATAATTTTAAATTATGGAATTCATCTCCCTCGTGCTAATCTCTGATACATTGTTGTCCAAATTTGGCTATACTTAACGTCATTTTTGATTAGGTCAGCTCTTCGATGTGTGTATTATAATTTGGATTTTTAAATATTTTAGTCTCGAGCATCACTGGAGATACATTAGTTGTCGAAATGCGCATCTGGTTTAGTAAAATTGGTACCGCTACTGTTATTTGAACAGTTTAGGAGCACATGCATGTTAATAAAGTCAATGGGGTCCGTATTACGTGAAAATGCACGAGCGTAATGTATAAATTGAGATATGTAAACGCCATAAAACGGGGCACAGGTATGTCACTGCTGAGAAATGGTAAGCTGATAATTGGAAAATTTGAATTATCATGCGTGTCATTGTGTTTTGAAGTCGTCCATCTGTGTCAATATCGAGGACAAGATCAAGATATGAAGCTAATTTCGGTAGTTTCCCTTATCTCAGGTTCACTGGTATTTATGAGATGCAAGCAATCACTGAAATGTGGGTTATTGAATGACAGGACATGTTCAATGTATCTGAAAATAAAATCAAAGGACCTTGCAAGACATTTTTTTTCTTTCTTTGTCTTTGCGAATAATCTGCTTGAATTACGTTTCATATGAGAACAAACCCAAGTCGGTTAGAAGAGTTGCACGAAAAGTACTCATCGGAATGCCGACTATATATTATTACATTAATCCACCAAAGTCAACAAATATATTGTCGATAAAAAAACAGGATTTTGATAATATCATCATAGATTTTTGTTGTTGTTAAAATCAGTGTGTTTCTTTACAAGCTTAGATTGTTCATTACCTTAAAAGAAGGAATTTGTATCTACGATTCCCATTTTTGTACAAAGACACAATAAATTCTCTGTCCAATAAAACGAGGCAGTGGATCTTTCAGTTTAGCTAGGGATATAGTAATGTAAAGTATACACACATCAAAAGATCTGACATTACTGTACATTTAAAAGATTTCAATTGAAGATTTCAATACGGATCATTTGAATTTTAAAGAATCGACCTCTAATGCATATCGCTGGTTAAATATACCTCATCTCAGTATTTCTGTAGGCAATAGTTTACTGTAAAATGAATTATGGACAGAACTTCAGAAAGACGTTCAGTCAAACCTTTTTACCACCCGGCTATATATCGTTTTTATAAGAATTTTTGTGAAGATCATGTATCCATTTGTTAATACCTAAAATCTCCTCATTAATGAATGATGTAAGGCAATATCTGGGATTCATTCCTAATTTTTCGGTTCAAAGTTATATATACCGGTTATCTTTACTGGTAAATAATTTTAGATTTTCAAGAAAAAGGGTGCGATTTCAATTTTTTAAAATGTATATGGCATTGAATGACATTTCAGTCATTACAATAGTGTGTTTTATATTTACCTGTATTTTTAGATACTTACATGACCTCTTTTCAACTTAATAACTGTTACAACTGTCATACATTTGAGAGTTTTAGCTAGCTATAAAACTAGGTTTAACTTGCTTCGGACAATGTATGTACCAAGTTAGGAATATGTATGTACAAAGTCAGGAATATGGCAGTTGTTTTTCACTGATTCCGTTGATTTCTAGCGTTTGATTTTGTCGACTTCTATGGTCTTCCCACTTTTTTAATTTGCCTTGGAGTTCGGTATTTTTGTTATACACATATACTTTTTTTCAAATAATAACTTTCTTTTAGAATTTTTGAACTATTGAAATGAAGAAAAAAAATTGAATTAAAGATCGATCATGCAGAATGTCGTCATTTTGTTTTCTAAGAATAGCACAGTCATTTCAAATAAAGAATGGTCTGCCATAGATCACTTATCTATATGTTCCAAGAATCTTGATCGCATGACAAAAGTATTTCACACAGTAAAAGTAAAATATGGAATGCCACATTTTGTGTTTTAAACACACATTTACTCTCGACTGTTACTGTTGAAATACAAATAGTGTTTTTAATAAGATATGAGTTTTACACGTCATAAGGCGATGTTGCGAAAACTTCAATATAAATACTAATCTATCTGAGGAAATATCACCTTAGTTAACAGCACTCACCTGCTTATCTTGTATAAAGTATGATTAACCAAATGTATTTATTCATCCCACCAAAGCAATCATTATACACATTTAGTCTGTCGAAGGACATCCATAGAGTTAACATTACAGCCGAAAAGTTTATTTGTGCTCAATCTTTTGTGCACACGTAATATGAAACCCTAAACATTAAATAAGCCAAAAACATATATTGTAATAATCGCTCTGTTGCATTTAAAGTAATACGATCTCTCGGGTAGATATTTTATAAAGACTTCCTTATAAAAACGTTTTTTAAAGGTCGTCTATTGTCATAACACAAATTATGTTTATAAGTTTCTGTCTTGTTTTAATTGTAAATAACTCAGTACCTATATATCTTTTCACTTATTTCGGAAAGTTTCAATCTCTTTGATTACTAAAAACAAACTGAGTTGTTGTTTCCCTCTTACTTCCAGCAAGTGCATGGATACAGACTTTAAATCTACAAAAATACACCCCCACCAACCAGCAAGTGCATGGATACAGACTTTAAATCTACAAAAATACACCCTCTTACAGCAAGTGCATGGCTACAGACTTTAAATCTATAAAAATACACCCCCCTAACCAGCAAGTGCATGGATACAGACTTTAAATCTACAAAAATACATCCCCCTAACCAGCAAGTGCATGGATATAGACTTTAAATCTACAAAAATACCCCCCCCCCCCCCCTAACTAGCAAGTGCATGGATACAGATTTTAAATCTACAAAAATACACCCCCCCCCCTTTACCAGCAAGTGCATATATACAGACTTTAAATCTACAAAAAAAAACACCCCCCTAACCAGCAAGTGCATGGATACAGACTTTAAATCTACAAAAATACACCCCTCTAACCAGCAAATGCATGGATACAGACTTTAAATGTACAAAAATACACACACCCCTAACCAGCAAGAGCATGGATACAGACTTTAAATCTACAAAAATACATCCCCCTAACCAGCAAGTGCATGGATATAGACTTTAAATCTACAAACATACCCCCCCTAACCAGCAAGTGCATGGATACCCTTAGTAAGTTAGTTTTGAGAAAGACTAAGCTTGATTATAATGAAACATACGGACATAATAATGTCGAAAATATGTACTTAGAAAAACTGAACAATGTGAATGGTAAAGGTGTCCTGTCATCAATACCAATATAATACATTCAACAGGCAAGCTCAGCATAGTGTGTATGTAGTTTTAATAGCTCAATGTGAAATATGCGAATATGCCACTTAAGGAATAACTGTACTGTAGTTGAAGAGTTGTCACCGTCAATTGGCGATTTGACGGTCGCAAATGCAGTTTTACTGGCGACGCGTAGCGGAGACAGTAAAACGGATATTTGAGACCGTCAAATCATAATTGACGGTGGCAACTCTTCAACTACAGTACTGTTATTCCGATTCTAATGCATTACAAAAAGAAATAATACGTTAGAGCTTGAAAAAATGTATAAATTTGAAATTTAATAAAATTCCGCGAAACTTCATGAATGATTTTGGCGCAAAGACGTCATGGCTAAACATGACGTCATACAAATGAAAACTTACAAACTGAAGGTTATTTCGTTACTTCTACGATTCAAATTTGGATAAAATCACATCAAAACGGCGATTTTGAGGTAGGTGTTGTTTTATTTTCGGTAAAATTGTAGTAATCGAACATTTTTTGATCCATGAATTCAAAATGGCGGGTCCCTCCTTAGTTACGACTGGTCAACTGTGGATTTGACGGTAACTTTTAGCCAATGAAAAAAATTGTTACATGAAAATTTCATTAGAATTTAAAAGTATTCTTCTCCAATAATTTTTAGCCGAATATGTTTTCATTGTATCATTGTTGTCTATTGTCTGTTTTATATATTTCTACATGTTTGAGTGAAATTGTTTTTATGGATGCACGTTTGTTTTTTTTCCTTTCTACCTTTTTATTTTATCTTTTGAGGGGCAAAGGTATGGCGAATTTTATTCTGATGTAACACTGGTGCGTTTCATTTTCGAAACTTTTGCAGTCGTTCCGTGTACATTTTAGGCAACTCTTACTAGTTCTCAAAATTATATTGAAAGATACCCCGATAATTGTTTGATATAAAAATTTGCTATCATTTTGAATTAAGGATTATATATCCCTCATGTATATATCTGAATAGCTATGTGCAGGTTTGACTTCAATTTTGTCCTTTCTAGGTTTTATCAGCTCTTCAACGTTTGTATAAGATTGTTAATTTCAAATAAAGGCAACTGTAGTATAACGGTGGTCAAAGGTCATAAATTGATAGAGGAACACATCAACTATAAGAGGAAAACAAACGACAACAGGAACATTGAAGTTAACAAACAAAAGTAATAAAAAAAACCGCTAACATACATAGAAATGAACTATTTATAACAACTGTCATATTCCTGACTTGGTACAGGACATTTTAAGAAAAAATGGTGGGTTGAACCTGGTTTAATGCCTCCCGCTTTTGACAATGTTAAAAAATATCGCTGAAATGACAACACTACGTGACAGAAATACAGCACAAACACACGCAAGAACATTCATCACAGAGAAACGCACAAACAAATAATATAATAGTCGACACAACATGCAAACTGTAGAACAACAACGAACATATTTCATCAACGACAAATACCACATGAAAATCAAAATAGTTCTGGCCTCGTGTATCACAAAGGAGAGAATTGTTTTAGAAGCAATGCCTACTGCGTTAATGATACCCTTGGTGATCAACAGTCTGTCATTATCGGATAGCACCAGCAGTACAAAGCATTATATTATACGCAGAATATATCCATGTTATCTATTTGCCTCTCGTTTTCTCTTCATATAGAACCGCCTCGGTGGTCTCGTGGTAGCGTGTTCGCCTTGAGTGCGGGAGGTCGTGGGCTCAAAACCTGGCCGGGTCCAACCAAAGACTTTAATATTGGTATTCGCTGCTTCGCTGCTTCTCAGCTAAGCACGCGGCATTAAAGAGTAAGAGCAAAGACTGGTCAGATTGGAGTCAGAATAATGTGTCCGGGTAAGGTGACATGTCTTCCTTTGGACTGTTACCTTGTGAACTAACACGTGAAAAATCCGGCACAGCGTATCGGTTTAGTACAAAGCAGTGTTAGAATTCATATTACATTAACATGTTCTTGTCCTGAATATCATATTAATTTGCCGCTGGACGTAAAGCATTCATCCATCATCATCTTCATCTCTTCATATAGCAAAAAAGGATCAAAAAGTTTATCTTATTCTTACCCTTGTGTCAAAGAAGACCTTTGAAATTATGCTTTAACAAGTTTAATAATTGAAAACCAAATAAATCAACACAAATATTAAATAGAAATAGTTATAATACTAGAATAATGAAAATATGCAGATACTTAATTACAAACTTGGGTAATGAAAATTCACAAGAAACCACACAAAAAAGAAATAAACAAATACATGCATTATCTATTGATAAGTCTATATTATCATCAAACTAAGACACACAATCCATCAAACCAAATTGGATTTGGCTATTCTTTTTATATAAAAAATAAATAAAGGATGACAAGATTGCTGATGATTCAATTATTCACCAGAGTTCCAATGACGTAGATTTAAGCAACTAAAGGGTCATTTTGTGGTCTTGAACAAATAACAAATCCTTGTCGTATAGTTATACAGCTATTAAATTGCCCATTATGACAAAATATTAAACAATTTAAAAAAAAAAACACCCAACGACCTGATTCACGACAAAGCAATAAACGAACAACAAATATGACAAACATCAGCCAACGAAAACTACTGATAAACAGGTTCCTGAATTGGGAAAAACTCTCACCTCACTGAAGTCTAAGACGGTCCCTAGCACCGGCTCTAGCGGAATTATTTGCAAACATAATTCGGATTGACTTTGTTAGATGTAACACCACCAAATCGGGTCCGGTTAACATGTTTGAGAGTGCTCAACTTCACCTAACCTGGTTCAATGGTAAACAGCACTATATAAGAATACACTGTTAAAAATCAGTTGAAAACGGCCTGACTAATTAGATTGGCACAAATTATATAAAACAGGTCCCAGATTTCTGATAAAAGAGTACTCGCAGTATGCACTTGACAAGGAATGCATTAATACATTTTCTCCAAATACAGAGTGGTCAGTATAATTTGTGGTGTAGAAGAGGGACGAAAGATACCAGAGGGACAGTCAAGTAGCTCTTTCCCGTCTTTTTAAACCAGTAAGATCGGGATAATTACATGATGAGTAAAGGAAATCCACTTCAGTTGTCTAATAAAGACATCGATGCTATCAACATCAGCAAAAAGGTAACATCTAAAATCCAACTTTATTTTCAAAATCAGTCTGTTCCTATATTATCCTACAGTTACACCAAAACCATAACACATAAAGTATACAACTACAAGCAAGCATTGCGTGAACCCTGATTTAGAAGACTACCTAAAAAAAAACCTCTGACATGTGACTGTTCCCACTCGCCTTATATTTACAGCCCCTCTGGCCATGTCATTACTGGGGATCTAAACATAATTCAACATAAACATCTCCGAAAGGTGATATAGCATGGTCCTAAGTTCAGAGAACTCGAACACATCAATTGGAACCCTGTCTTCAAAATAATCATGGATTTCATTGAGGTCTACGCCAGAACATGTGCTAAACGAGAAGAAGTTGAACTGGACATTTTGTCAGAATGGGTTAAAGCCATCAATTCACTGATAAAACATCTAATCCAAAAATTGAAAAACTGTGAAATTGATCGACCAAAGAAGCTGTCAAATGTATATCATCTCATGAATATGTTGTTATTCCTGCGGACAAAACTTCAAATAATAATGTTATTGTATGTAAATGGTACTACTACGAGTGTCATGTAAAAGACTTAGGAATAAATGAGCACTCAGGTAATCCCACATACAAAAACATATCATTTCACAAGGATGAGATTCTGGCGAATCATAAGTCATTCATGGCTTCAATGAACATAACATTGAACAGCAAATCTGAATACTTACCTTGTTTGTATTGGATAACTAAGCTTCACAAAATTCCGTACAAAAAAACGGTACATTGCCGGCTCATCTGCATTTTCTACAAAGGAGTTGTCCATTAGATTGACTTAAATTCTGTCCGCAGTGACAGAAGGTCCTCAGGATAACTGTGAAACTATTTACTGGCATAATGGTATTAACCCTTTATGCCACCATTCCCCATGTGAAATTAAAACATCGTTTAAAATAAATAATTCCCCCATCTTGGGAACAATAATATATCAACGTCACCTTCATATGAGATAAACATTTCCCAACTTATTCGGTATTCTAGGGCTTGCAGCTGCTACTCAGACTTTATAAAACGTCACCAGTGTCTGAAAATTGATGAACCAGGATTATGTCAAAGAACGTCTAGTACTTTTTCTTGAAACAGCTCATCGAAAGATACAAAGACCTTGTTGATATATATATATATATATTCCGGATCAACTTTACAAATAATACATGAGATGGTCTTGAAGTATATATTATAGGTACTGACATTGTTTATCGTCTAAATTACTTGTAATAGTGTTCTTTTTATTTGTCTTTGTATATTTTTTATCTTTACTGTTTAGTCCCTTTTTTTGTAATATCCTTTTGGCGAGGCTCGGTATTTACACATTCTGCCATTGTGTTATTGTGCTATTGTCGTTTTTTGTATTCTAGTCTTTCATTTTAGCTTATGTGCTTTTTATAGGGACTTTCCGTTTTGAATTTTCTTTGGAGTTTGGTATTTTTGTTATTTTACTTTTTGTCGATAGATTGTCTTTATGCCATTTTGTTTTTCTTTGTTGACATAGTTGATTGTTTTATAGTGATTAAGATAATAACAAAATGTTGACTGCTGTACCCAATTTTTGACATTTTTTTACATATTATGTCTGTTTGTTTTGCTCACACATTGTTGTCAATATAATGGAATTGTATGCGACTGCATACAAGTGAGAGTTTTAGCTAGCAATAAAAACCAGGGAGTGTGACAGTTGTTTAACTTTCGTTAGATGTGTTTGAGCTTTTGATTTTGCTATTTGTTGGGGACCTTCCGTTTTTGCATTTTCGTTGGAGTTCGATAGTTTTGTTATTTTACTTTTTACTAAAAGCAAGTTCAAACCAATAAATTAGGTTCTCACAGACTAAATTACGAATCAAACGTATAAAGAAGTCATAAATAGTCTGGAAAAAACA